AATCCAAGGTTGGGATAGTGTGCAGCTAAAAATATAGAAAATATACAGTACATCACGCTAATCCAAGGTTGGGATAGTGTGAAGCTAAAAATATAGAAAATATACAGTATATCACGCCAATCCAAGGTTGGGATAGTGTGCAGCTAAAAATATAGAAAATATACAGTACACCACGCTAATCCAAGGTTGGGATAGTGTGCAGATAAAAATATAGAAAATATACAGTAAATCACGCTAATCCAAGGTTGGGATAGTGTGCAGCTAAAAATAAAGAAAATATACAGTACATCACGTCAATCCAAGGAACAGTTGCCTCTTTACTTACTAGTCCTTATATCTTTCCAACCTGATGTTTATTTGATATTATGAATTCTGCTTGATATAATTAAGAGTTAAAGTTTAAAAATGGGAAAAGGTTGCAAAGTTTTAGGGATTTGAAAATTCGTATTTCAAGGGACGCAAGTTCTAAACCGTGTTTATGGTCGAAACCTGACACTGAATGGCAGGTCTTGGCCAAGTCGTGGGTTGAAACTTATGTCCCCTATTATTAAGGCATGTGGGTTCAGTTGCATTCAAAATATGTTAACCCCAAATTATCAACCGGGAAGTATTTAAAATGAAAATGTTCTGAACTACTTAGTTCGGCGTGGGCTTTCAATCAATAGACTCCTTTTTACGTTATATATGGATATATATATAGAATACCTCATAAACTAACGGAAACTGCAAAACTAGAAGCCAGAGGGGGGGGGGGCAGGGAGGGGGGCAATTTTTTGTTTCATGACAAACTTTAAAATATTGTTTTTTCATGAATAACCAGAAACGGAAGGTTTAAACGAAAAAAGAATTTGTAAATTTTTTCAACACTTTTTATCCAATACCCTCCCCCACAATGACAGTTTTGTTTAATTACTTGAAAGTGTACTGCATACAATACAGACGAAACTGCACTGTGTAAAAACAACAATGACGATATTAAATCATTTATACCTTTTGTTTAATAAAGAATCCCTAGAAATTACAGAACTTTGATCACTTGAATTTGTTTCTCTTTTGAAATAGTATAGAGTTCAATTTTTAGGATTGAAAGCCAGCCATTTTTATGATGTTGTACATATCGTACACAGATCAAGGATGAGACAGGCAATTTAGCCAGGGGTCCATTAGTGGAATTTGATAATATTTTTTAACTGGTGGCATTTTTTTATAGTTGGGGGCAAAAAATAATTTTGGGATCGAGAAAACCAGCTATTTTGGGAATTATATGGACCCCTGAATTTATATGGTTACCTATATATTAGAATTTAACTTTTCCGTAGTAGACTTTAGCCCAGAGATAAGAGAGCTACAGAGTTGAAACCTATGATATGCGATGTATCCCACAGTATGTTCTATTGTGTACATGTACTGTACACGACAAATCAGCAAACATCTGTATTTAGGGATATATAAGGATCCTTTGGATTCTATACACAAATATACTGAATTCATAAATGCTATGTTTCATGTTTAAAATTGAAGTATTTCTTTAAAAGTTGTAAAACTTAACCCCGGAATGGGTATTATATTCAACAAGTGGCCATGGTACTCTAAAAACCTATCGTAAAAATGTAGCCTGTAGTGACGGGTCAACTTAGGCCTACATACCCCACCCTGTGAAAGGAGATAAGCAGCCTGTGTAGTCTCTGCAGTATAGTAGCCCCTTATAGTCTTTTTAAGTAAAAACTGAATTGGATCCTATAATCAAATCTGGTTCCCCACTGAAGGATGAAGGTATTGGGGGGGGAGGGGGGTGTGGAATAACTTTACCCATTATTCTGTTTCACTTTACTTAATGTTTGTTCACTGAGAGAGAGATAGTTCTGACAGGAACTGATTTGTTACTACAAAATCTGATGTTTTCATCCCAATATCTTTGCAATCCGATGTCATAGACTCATAGACTTTTTAATATTTCATCCCATGATTTCTGTTATATCAAAAAGTTTAAGTTTATAATATCAAAGAATCAAACCATCAGGTTTCAAAAATTTATGGATTGAGTTTGCGGCAGGACCTCAGTTCCTTTGTATAAGTGAAAGATACCCAACAATTAGGATTCATAATATCAAAGAAAATGAGGGGAGACATATGAAAATATGCTAAGGGGGGGGGGGGTCAGCGTCCCATATCCCCCAGTTGCGCCACTGGGTTTAACCCTAAATTCTTTCAGAATTCTGTTTTGATTGAGGAAGAAAATAAAATACACATTTCGATAAAACTTTAAACATATAATTTTTACGAGGATTTTATTAAGAATATAGTTTCTATTTTTTCATCTAGATAGAGAGATAGATAGATAGATAGATAGATAGATAGATAGATAGATATATAGATAGATAGATAGATAGATAGATAGATAGATAGATAGATAGATAGATAGATAGATAGATAGATAGATAGATAGATAGATAGATAGATAGATAGATAGATAGATAGATAGATAGATAGATAGATAGATAGATAGATAGATAGATAGATAGATAGATAGATAGATATCCCTTTCTTCCGTCTGATTGAAGGTTTGATGTATTGAATCCAGGGAAGGGAATTATTAAAACCAGAAACTTTGTAAAATAAGAAGCAAATTTCTTATGATATAAAAATATGCAAGATTCTTTAACGGAAACCTGCATTGTATTTGCATGTAGGTCATGTTCCATTGTTTTTGCGTCATCAACTTTACGCATTAATTCGTGCGTATACGTCCTCAAAACCAGTTAATCATATTAATGTTTTATCATTAACTTTTAGTCTAAGAATGTTAGTAAATAACGCTTAAAGGGACTGTAACCGTAATTTCAAGTGACCCTCTATGCAAAGATGGCAATGCCCGATTTACAACAGTATCATTGAAACCTTACTATGATCAAAATGTGGAAGATACTGGTCGTTCTTCTGACTCGAAAATTTATTTAATCTGATTATATCTCCGTTGCTTCTTATAAGTTAAAAAAGGGTAAAAATTAAGTTTAATAACAAATAAACCAAGCTAGTATATCCATGTATCCTTATATATCTTTTAACATAACAAGGAATTGTTACTCTATTCCATCTAACCCTGAATTACTCAAATCCGCATAACCTAAATTACGTACGCAGTTCCATATAACCCAGAACTATTACTTATTACTTACTTATTACTCAATTCCCAATAACCTTAAATTGCTCAGTTTCATCTTACCCTGAATTACTCAAATCCCCCTAACCTTGAATTACTTAATCAAATCTAACCCTTAATTACTCAACTCCATCCAACCCTGAATTACCCCATTCCATTTAATCCTGAATTTCTCAATTCCATCTAACCGTGAATTACTTAACTCCATCTCACTCTGAATTGCTCAATTCCACCTTACCCTGTATCACTCAATTAATCATCACCCTAAATTACTGAATTCCACCATACACTGAATTCCTCTCCATTTCATCTAACCCTAAATTACTCAATTGCACCTCACACTGAATTACTCAATTACAAATTCCACCTCATTCTAAATTACTCAAATCCAGCGAATGAGGGAATCTTCCTCTAGCTTTATTGATTGAATGATTAAACCAAGTGATAACTAAATATAGAATAGGGCAGGATGGTACTTTTGTGAATAGGACGGGATGGTACTGTTGTGAATTGGACAGGATGGTACTTTTTTGAATTGGACGGGATGGTACTNGGGGGGAGAAGTTAATTTCTCGGAATACTGGGTTTAGAACAGCTTAATCTATTCTATTCCTAATATTTTCCTCTTTGAATAGTTTACATTATTATTCTGTTTATTATATAGATATTTACATTTATAATAATAAACTAGATTCTGCGGGAAATAATATAAAACTGTTTCCCTACATCAAATCATTAATATAAAGAAATGAAGTATTTGTCCCAAATTCTTATATTTAATCCCTATATAGTTTTGCAACACAAAGTCGCAAACCTTAGATGTTTCAAACTAAAAACGCTGTTAGATCAAATAATCAAAGTTTGAAATATCAAAGGTTTACACTATCAGATGGCAAAGATATAGAGTTTAAAAAATTTGAGTTTGTGGCAAAGACTCCTATTACGAGACGAAATAGGCACGTTCTGAACTCACTCGCCCCTGAGCTCCTGTAAAAACCCTGAAGTCGGGAGGAGAACAAATCCGTACTGCAACAACGAAACTAGTTTTGATTTGTAAACTTTACCGTACATTTGTATTGTATCCGCCATTTATCGTCAGTTAATCTTGATATTTTGATACAAATAATGTTCGTCGTGATCTGTGAATTGATTAAGCATTGCTAGTTATTTTTATAGAACTGAGATTCATTCCTTGTTCTCTTTAGTTTTGATTGAAAGGACGAATTATCCATGTAAGAATTTATCACATATTTCCAAGTTATCAAAGATTCTATTTTCTTGAATTGATATTTTTTCATTCTCTGCATATTGTATTTTATGATTATAATAAATTAATTGTACAATCTTTTACAGATTGATCCTGTAGTTGGAACAAGTCTTGGAGTGTTTTCTTTCTGAAAAGATCTGACATTTCGTCCTGGTTCCAATCGTAACCCTGTAGCAAATCAATATCATGCAAGGTCGATACTTCGGTCGTGAAACAACTCCAATCCATGAATGTAGTTTTTTTCTTAATATTTTATTAAACTGAGAAGTACTGAAATAAATCCTTGATTTGTAAGAGCTTGTCTGAAAGTAACTGAATGAATCTTCTGTCTATAGAGTTTGGTGTCCGATGCTCAACCGTACCCTTGAACATCAGGGATGACGAACTTATCCTTACATATCTATCTAACCCTATTGTAATTATCGAACTCTTCAGTTTAGTTTCCAGGTAAAGCTGGGTTCCCAAGCTAGTATATCCATGTATCCTTATATATCTAGACAACCCTCGTGTAATTATTGAACACTTTAGTTTAGTTTCCAGGTAAAGCTGGGTTCCCAAGCTAGTACATCCATGATCCAAGGGTTGCAGCTCTCACGCAGTAAACGGTATGAGTTTTGACAAAAACTTCTTTAGATCTAGGGCTTTACCAATCGCTTTAAACTTATGCCATCAACTAAGAGCTTTTGTCGTTGACTGCAATAACCGAAGAAAAAGTTGGTTTAATAGGAGAGTGTATAGAGCAACTAGCTAGTAAGGTAAAATCAAAAGCCATAGTGTTGCGAATTTACAAAGTCAACCAATATTAAATGCCTACTCCAGAACAGTTTCTCGAAACGTATCTATCCAGGTACAACTCAAATTCCCTTGACTATCAATGTCAAAACACTGATACAATCTCGTAACTATCGATCCCAAATCAATAATTTACATAAAAATATTACCCCTCTTATTATCGCCATTTGCTGTATTAATCATCTATTCTCGATTTTAAAAGTTCTGTAATTACCACGTCCTTCTCTTTTTTCGGTCCTAGAATCATATATGAATGAATATATTAATAGATTAGTTCACAGTCTTGTTTTACAAGGTCCTGATGGATTAGTTCACAGTCTTGTTTTACAAGATCCTGATGGATTAGTTCACAGTCTTGTTTTACAAGAGTTTGTTTACATTTCCAGAAACTTGCGCTTTGCCGCGTAGCATAACCAGAGTTCAGTCGAGGGAGGCAATCAAAGCTTTAATGAGAATAGAAATGAATATATGACGTAATATATACTTTTTAAAAGAAAGGTTTGATCATTTCATGGAAATTAAAAGGATTTATCTGATTTCTTATTCCTTCCAATAATAATATATAATATCGGAAACTAAAGAAATAAACCTTTCTTCATAGACAATTCTCGTTTAAAATGGGTTCTCACTTTTTTGAGGGAGGTAGGGGTGAATAAAAAATGAAATTGTAAATGGTACCGTTGTAAATTGGGTATGCCTTTTTTGGGAGTCACATAAAATTACTTTAACAGTCCCTTTAAAGCATTTGAAAATGCAGTGTCTGATGAGGAAGAAAACTGTTGTTCTTAAGGATGTTATGCAAGGAAAGTTATTTTAGAGGTGTACACATCTTTTGTACTGCAGTGTACTGTCTCTGGGCGGTAATGTAAACGCAAGACGGATGTCACAGCCTGACATGGGATCCATCTTTCACATAAAAAATCAATGAAATATTCTGATCATAGGAAAATATTATGTGAACTATCAAAATTATCAAAATTTAATGCTTTTAACCTCCTCGGATACTAAACGAACACTGATGCATATATTCTTGTTTACAAATTCCGCCCAGAGAGAACTGGTTTCAATATGTACGCAGAGTATACGCGACAGCAATTAACTTTCCTTACATTATAACCTTGTTTGTTCTTATCACTGTTTCGTCCCGTTTATTTAGAAGATGTTAAAGGAGATTTCAAGAAAAATGAGTTAAAGGCACTGTAGGCGAATTTTAAGTGACACTAGATTTATAAGTTCCACGTTATATTCACAATGGATAATTGTACCCTTTTAAGATTTGTACTAATAAGAAAAGAAACTTTATCCATTTAAGTTTTGGGCTCTATCTAAAAAAGGCCAATTCTTGCTATAAAATTGTTAGAATAAATTAATTTAAGAAATTAATTTCCTCAATATTTGTGATACAAAGGTTTAACGGGTGTTGTTGTAAAAAGGGTGAATGTTGGATAACTTGAAATTAAACCGAATCACTATAAATAAAGAGAAGTTCTATCAGATGTTTTGGTAAATAAAACCCTACTCCATAAACCGTAAAAGATAGATAGATAGATAGATAGATAGATAGATAGATAGATAGATAGATAGATAGATAGATAGATAGATAGATAGATAGATAGATAGATAGATAGATATAATATAGATAGACAGACATATAGATAACTAGAAAAATGGATAGATAGATAGATATATAAATAGAAAGATAAATATATAGATAGATATATATAGATAGATATATAAATAGAAAGATTAGATAGATATAAAGATAGATAGATAGATAAATAGATAGATAGATAGATAGATAGATCGATAGAAATATATAGAAAGTTAGATAGATAGATAGATAGATTGAAAGACATTTATTTAAAATTGAAAATAAATTTTGAATTTTTGACAAAGCTTTCCTTCTTATTCTCAGCATGAATAAACCTGATGAATTAACAGTTTTCTTTAAAAACATGTAAACTAAGGGGTTTTTTCTTGAATACACACAATAGAACACTTTTCAACACAATTCATTCAATTATTTAGAAAAAGAAAAAGTTTACCTAGAAAAGGTTTTCTTCTTCTTTTTTTTAATTATTTTTAGATTTTTCTGTGAAATTAACATTAACCAATTTACTTTTTCGCACAAACTCAAATTGACGAAGCCCAATAACTTTGAAACTTGATGGCGTAAACGTTTGATATTTCAAATATTTTTATCTATATTTCGTGATCGAATCTAAGGTCTGCTATATTGGGATTAGAAAATCCGTTATTGTGGCAAAAACTAAATTCCTTTGCGGATTTTCTATTTTCATTGAAGGATTTCGACTCACATTTTTAGCACGAAACAATTAGCCCCTACCGGGCCAGCGTTTTGGCGTTTATTTTATACAAACATATCAACGCATAACACCGGCCAATGTACCCAGGAAACAAATTTATAGATGATAAAAGCAGAGCCTTTTGTTTTATTTTCTTCCGATCAAACTCTGCAAATGCATCTGCAGTAGAGATGGTTACAATTTCTACAAGTCAAGCAGATTTTTAGTATTTAGAGGTCAGTGAAAATTCCCCCCTCCCTTTATCTTTTCTCCCCCCCCCCCTTCATCTTCTCATCTCTGTTCGGGTGGCGGGGGTACCCTCTCTAGCGCCCCTGAACCCACGTTGCAAAAAATGACCCAATGTTTATCTAAGAAAAATATTTAGCTTAAATATTATTTGTACTTCTAGTCTGATAACTCACCTTCAGTTAGGTGCAGAACAGAAATATAGTTTAAAGAGATTGTTTACTAATTCTGCAGGAAGTGAACGCTAACAAACAAAAAACTCTTAAAAGGGACTGTAAGCGGAATTTCATGTAACAGTGGCAATGCCTAATTTACAAGGTACCCAATTAAAAGCTTTTTCTGATCAAGTATAAAATTAAATTTCCATTTTTTAAAGGGACTTACGCATTTCTTGCTTATAAGAAACAATGGAGAATCTCACAGAAATAATAACTTGTGTAATCAGACAAACGACGTTATCTCCCACATTTTTAATCAGCATAAAGGTTTCAAAGGCACCGTTATAAATCAGGCATTGCTATCTTTGCTTGGAGGGTCACTTGAAATTGCGCTTACAGTTTGATACTTTAACCACTGAATTTGTGATAAAACACACCTTGAACATCAAGAAAATGTTACCACAAAAAAATTGATTTTCAATCAAAATGGGTCAAACTCTCATATAAGTTATTATACCTTTATTATACTGAAATCCAGTGTAAAAATAATATTCAAGCCATTTGTATTTACATAGTTTGTATTAAGGCAGTGAGTGTAAAACATTGGCAATGTCAAACCAAGGGTAAACCTGGGTACCGTTCAATGTTAGCCAGGTGCTGCTCAATACTATGTAGGTCTTTCATAACGGAGCTGTCGATACTTAAGATCTCAATTTGATATATTCCTGCTGAGCAAGTAGGTAGAGAGTATATAGCGAAAAGCCACTCGTTAACTCTGTGATTATTTTTTTAAATAAAGATATTTACGTTCTGTTTTTCTCAATAAAAGTTTGAAGAAGAAAATGTTAGCCAGGGGGGGGGGGTTCTAGGACGGACCCAAGTGATGTTCTGCGTCAAAACGATGGATCAATTACGGAAAAATGGTTTTAAACTCAAATAAATTAAATTATTCTTGTTTGTTTACATTTCCAGAAACTTGCGCTTTGCCGCGTAGCGTAACCAGAGTTCATTGCAGGTAAGAATTCTCTGCAGGCATGACACCGGTCTTAAATCTTGATGAATATTAGTTTAAGCTGTTGATGTCAAATTTTTATCCTTGAATCCATAAAGTGGATTTGAAGTTGTTCAAATTATGAACTCTAGATAAAAAATTTAATATATCAAAGGTTGTCACCATCAGTCTGCAAACTAGAATTTGAGTAGGAGATTTCGGAGCTGAGCCAACCGGATATAGGTTTTATACATTTACACAGGATTTATAAAAACAAATTCTTCATGGATTTTTATATTCTTTATTGCAATATTTCTAAAGTGTAATATGTTACAAGTATCTGTTAGATGGGGTTTAACTGATGTCTAAAAAGTCAACAATTGCGCATGCTCAGTCGTTCGTTTCCTTCTCGGTGTGTAAGTGTTCGTGAATATATGGGTCTGTCTGTTCATGTTGTTTCAAACACTCGGAGCTCTAGAGAGTACCCTTCTTCAGTCCTAGAGATTCATAAAACAAGAGAATACACGGGTCAGCAGTTGGATAGATAGATATATAGATAGATAGATAGATAGGTAGATAGATAGATAGGTAGATAGATAGATAGATAGATAGATAGATAGATAGATAGATAGATAGATAGATAGATAGATAGATAGATAGATAGATAGATAGATAGATAGATAGATAGATAGATAGATAGATAGATAGATAGATAGATAGATAGATAGATAGATAGATAGATAGATAGATAGATAGATAGATAGATAGATAGATAGATAGATAGATAGATAGATAGATAGATCGATAGAAATATATAGAAAGTTAGATAGATAGATAGATAGATTGAAAGACATTTATTTAAAATTGAAAATAAATTTTGAATTTTTGACAAAGCTTTCCTTCTTATTCTCAGCATGAATAAACCTGATGAATTAACAGTTTTCTTTAAAAACATGTAAACTAAGGGGTTTTTTCTTGAATACACACAATAGAACACTTTTCAACACAATTCATTCAATTATTTAGAAAAAGAAAAAGTTTACCTAGAAAAGGTTTTCTTCTTCTTTTTTTTAATTATTTTTAGATTTTTCTGTGAAATTAACATTAACCAATTTACTTTTTCGCACAAACTCAAATTGACGAAGCCCAATAACTTTGAAACTTGATGGCGTAAACGTTTGATATTTCAAATATTTTTATCTATATTTCGTGATCGAATCTAAGGTCTGCTATATTGGGATTAGAAAATCCGTTATTGTGGCAAAAACTAAATTCCTTTGCGGATTTTCTATTTTCATTGAAGGATTTCGACTCACATTTTTAGCACGAAACAATTAGCCCCTACCGGGCCAGCGTTTTGGCGTTTATTTTATACAAACATATCAACGCATAACACCGGCCAATGTACCCAGGAAACAAATTTATAGATGATAAAAGCAGAGCCTTTTGTTTTATTTTCTTCCGATCAAACTCTGCAAATGCATCTGCAGTAGAGATGGTTACAATTTCTACAAGTCAAGCAGATTTTTAGTATTTAGAGGTCAGTGAAAATTCCCCCCTCCCTTTATCTTTTCCCCCCCCCCCCCTTCATCTTCTCATCTCTGTTCATTTGCCTCTCTAACTATCAATCTATCTGTATATATTGTCTATCTAATCAGTTTTGCTCTTTTTACAGATATTCCAAGTGTACCAAACCCTGACTTTAAACCATGGTTGCCGCTGACCGAGTGAAAACCAACCAATGAGAGGGCAGGGATCCTGCCGCCAACCAATGAGGATCAAGAATTGGGAGAGAGATGTTAGTCAGCAGAGAGGTGTCAGCACACAGTTGTGTAGATGGGTTTCTGCTGAGCAGAGCTAGCATGGAGAATACAGATCATCAGCAGGTTTAAACCCATACCCTGAGCAGACACAAACCCATCCTACTCAGCACTTTTCCATCCTTGCACTTTCAGTTTAACACAGATAGAGTTAGTTTAGAGATATCTGGGTAGTAGTTAGAGTAGGGAGATGATTTGAGATATCTCTAAATATAGGTTAGAGTAGAGAGATGATTTATACATATCCAAGGAAAGATCAGTGTTGGGTGATGGTTTGTTAATATCTGTGACTAGGAAAGAGAAGCAAGATGGTTTATGGCTATCTAAATGTAGTTTAAAGTAGGAAGATGCCTAAAAGATATCCTTCTTTTTAGGTTAGAGACGGAATATTGTTAATATGTATATCCTTGTAAAGGTTGGAGTAAGATGTCTATGTGTAGGTTAGAGTAGCAAGATGATTAGAGATATCCTTGCATATATATATTAGAGTATGTTAGGAGAGAATTTACAAATATTAGGGTTGAGGTTAAACTAGATGGTTTAAGATATCCTTGTGTGTGTAGAGTATGCTAGTGGAGAATTTACAAATATTAGAGTTGAGGTTAAACTAGATGGTTTAAGATATCCTTGTGTGTCTAGAGTATGTTATGGGAGAATTTACAAATATTAGGATTGAGGTTAAACTAGATGGTTTAGATATCCTTGTGTGTGTAGAGTATGCTAGGAGAGAATTTACAAATATTAGAGTTGAGGTTAAACTAGATGGTTTAAGATATCCTTGTGTGTGTAGAGTATGCTAGGAGAGAATTTACAAATATTAGGGTTGAGGTAAAACTAGATGGTTTAAGATATCCTTGTGTGAGTAGAGTATGCTAGGAGAGAATTTACAAATATTAGGGTTGGTTAGATGGATGGTTTTAAGATATCCTTGTGTGTGTAGAGTATATGATTGTTTGATAGTTCACAGAGATGACACGTAGATGTTAGATTTATATAGTTTAGAGATATCAGGGTAAGGACTAGAGAAGAGACATGGTTTAGAGATATCTGGGTAGAGGTTAGAGCAGAGGGGATGGTTTATAGATATCAAGGTAAGGTTAGAGTAGAAAAAGGTTTAGAGATATGGGTAGATGTTAGAGTAGAGAGATGGTTTAAAGATATCAAGGTAGAGGTTAGAGTAGAAACATGGTTTAGAGATATCAGGGTTGAGGTTAGAGTAGAGAGATGGTTTAGCGATATTAGGGGAGAGATTCGAGTAGGTCGAGAGATGGTTTAGAGATATCAGGGTTTAGGTTAGAGTAGAGAGATGGTTTAGAGATATAAGGGTAGAGGTTAGAGTAGAGGTATGGTTTAGAGATATTAGGGGAGAGATTATAGTAGGTCGAGAGATGGTTTAGAGATATCAGGGTTGAGGTTAGAGTAGAGAGATGGTTTAGAGATATCAGGGTAGAGGTTAGAGTAGAGAGATGGTTTAGAGATATCAGGGTAGAGGTTAGAGTAGAGAGATGGTTTAGAGATATCAGGGTAGAGGTTAGAGTAGAGAGATGGTTTAGAGATATCAGGGTAGAGGTTAGAGTAGAAGCTGGTCTAGAGATATCAGGGTAGAGGTTACATTAGAGAGATGGTTTAGAGATATCAAGGTAGAGGTTAGAGTATAAACATGGTTTAGAGATATCAAGGTAGAGGTTTGAGTATAAACATGGTGTAGAGATATCAAGGTAAAGGTTTGAGTATAAACATGGTTTAGAGATATCAGGGTAGGAGGTTAGAGTAGAGAGATGGTTTAGAGATATCAAGGTAGAGGTTAGAGTTGAAACATGGTTTAAAGATATCAGGGTAGAGGTTAGAGTAGAAGCATGGTATAGAGATATCAGGGTAGAGGTTACAGTATAGAGATGGTTTAGAGATATCAGGGTAGAGGTTAGAGTAGAAACATGGTTTAGAGATATCAGGGTAGAGGTTAGAGTAGAGAGATGGTTTAGAGATATCAAGGTAGAGGTTAGAGTATACACATGGTTTAGAGATATCAGGGTAGAGGTTAGAGTAGAGAGATGGTTCAGAGATATCAGGGTAGAGGTTAGAGTAGAGAGATGGTTTAGAGATATCAGGGTAGAGGTTAGAGTAGAGAGATGGTTTAGAGATATCAGGGTAGAGGTTAGAATAGAGAGATGGTTTAGAGATATCAGGGTAGAGGTTAGAGTAGAGAGATGGTTTAGAGATATCAGGTAGAGGTAAGAGTAGAGAGATGGTTTAGAGATATCAGGGTAGAGGTTAGAATAGATCTGTCACTAAAGCTCAGCGTGATATGGGTTTAATTTAGACTCCGGGATATGAGCACTACATAGAGAGGGATTCAACACCCTTTAATGCCTTAGAGGACGAGGAGGAGAGAGTCAGGAAAATCATTATTCTTTCATTTATCCTTTGAAGGAATTGTCCACTGAGGGTCTGCCACAAACTCATATTGTCTAACCCCTTTATCTTTGCAATCTGATGATGTAAAGCTTTGATATTTCAAACATAGATTATTTGATTTAACAGAATGTATAGTTTGAAACATTTTCGGTCTACGACAATTAAATGGCACAAATTTTTAAATTCATCAATTTTTATATGTTCAAATGGTTTTAAATGGATATATTTATTTGTTAGGAACAAACTAATTGCAACACAAAAAAATGAATTCAAACAAATATTTATATTTGGTATAAATGATTTTGATCAGATATTTTGCAAACGGTCCTCTGCTGGGTCGGGTCAATGCTGTTGTAGGACACAACAACCACTTAGTTCAATACAACGATCTAGGTCAGTTTTATCAACATTTAGTTCAATACAACGATCTAGGTCAGTTTTATCAACATTTAGTTCAATACAACGCTCTAGGTCAGTTTTATCAACATTTAGCTCAATACAACGATCTAGGTCAGTTTTATTAACATTTAGTTCAATGCAACGATCTAGGTCAGATTTATCAACATTTAGTTCAATACAATGATCTAGGTTAGTTTTATCAACATTTAGTTCAATACAACGATCTAGGTCAGTTTATTAACATTTAGTTCAATACAACGATCTAGGTCAGTTTTATCGACATTTAGTTCAATACAATGATCTAGGTCAGTTTTATCAACATTTAGTTCAATACAACGATCTAGGTCAGTTTTATCAACACTTAGTTCAATACAACGATCTAGGTCAGTTTTATCAACATTTAGTTCAATACAATGATCTAGGTCAGTTTTATTAACATTTAAAGGGAATGTTCCCTGAATTGGTAAAGGGGGTATGGTATCATATTTTGATTTGAACAAGTATATATTTACGGGAAAGGAATTGAGTCTTTGCCACAAATTCAATTTTTGTAAAACCTATGCAGCCTTATGATGTAAACCTTTGATATTTCAAATTTACATTTTTTGATAAAATGGCATTCATAGTTCGAAATATAAAGGTCTACGACATGCGGTTGCAACGATATCGAAATTAGAAAATTGAGTTTTTGCCACAAACTCTGATTTTCTAATCTCTATAACTTGGCAACTCTATGTTTGATATTTCAAATGGTCAATTATGTAAGATCAAATAATCTAAGTTTGAGTATGAAAGGTTTACGTCATTAAGTTGCGAAGATAAAGGGATAAGCAAATCAGAGTAAGTGGTAAAGACTCAATTCCTTTATTTCTTAATTTATTTCTAAATTTATCTCTAAAGGGGTTTGTTCGATTCACAACAGTACGTTAAAACATGTGTCCGGGGAAAAATAATCTGAAAAGTGATTGTTTTGAAATCCATGAGTCGCAGTTTTCTACAGAAGAAATAGAGAAGGAAATTGTTAGAATTAAGCACTAGTTTAAAGATAGAAAAACCAGAGAAAAGTTTAAACTTCGTATTTTTTGTATAATATATTTATAAGAAAATATTGCTAAAAAATATTATTTTAGACTATGATGATTCTCAAACACGGGATTGTAAACGTGGGATTTCAATACTTCCTGATTATGATCCGTAAGTAACTTACATTTGTTTTGGGACTGCATTTTATTTATAGGAAACTTTTCTTATTTCGTAATAAATTAAAAATAATAAGTTAAATAATCTTTGGCTTCAACTTTTTTTCTCTTTATTTTCTTTCATTTCTTTTGTTAATCATTTCCTTAAATGTTTTTAGGGATCAGTTAACATCTCGTTATTTAAAATTTCGCCATATTATTTCGCCAACAACAACTCGCCTAAGAAATATATCTCCTAATAACAACAACTCGCCTACATATAAATTTTTAAATTAAATAATTGCAATGTATTGAAATTAAACCATAAAATCCACGAACCAAAAACCAAAAATACGGAAATTCTAACAATGTCGGGAGTACTGCATGCACGCATCTACAACTCAGCGGGGGAAACCATCTTTGGTTGACATGAAAAACTTCTCCTACACTAAATCTAAATCTACTTTTGTATGAGCTGAACAATGTTTTATAATTTTATATAATATTTATAAATATTTACTAATAAACTACTACTTTCTACAAAATAAAATTCATGATTTTTTTTTGTTTTTTTTATATAGAAAGTTGTTGTTTTTATCTCGAAATGTTATATGGCAAGTTGTTATGTGGCGAAATGTTACTTAGGCAAGTTGTTATAGGGCGAAATGTTACTCAGGCGAGTTGTTATATGGAGAAATGTTACTCAGGCGAGTTGTTATATGACGAAATGCTATATGGCGAAATGTTACTGAGCGGTTTTCAGATATAATGGAATTGGAGCTCCCTTTTCTCCTACCGAGCACTCCTTCATGGCGACTACCATGGTCACCTACCAACATATCGAGGCACAGGTAGTTCAGAGTTGATGACAATATCCAACTAAATAATCAAAATAATTTGTTATAATTAATTTAGTAAAATTCACATAATTTCTAACTTTGATGCATCTCTCACAGTTATTAAATATTGAGAACGTTGGTAAACAAACATCATACTTACAATGAATCTTTGTAAGAAAATCATGGGAAAGTGTAAATGGTACAGAGGAATAAAAAAACTGAAAGTCCCGAGAAATAATGTCACTGGGTTTTAGATTCCTGGGAATTTCTTTCCAAAGCCAATTTATTTTTTTAGAATTTTTTTTTACAGTTTCTCTTTTGTTTGCCCTTGGAAATGTAGAATTTAAACCTACAAAAAACTTGTTATAGTGTTGAAATGGGAAATGGATAAAATGTTCACATTTTGGGTAACGATGACACAAATTATTGTTTCAGGGTCGACCCCGCGGCCTGCCCTGGTCAGGCGGACAAAATCATCCGAAGTGGGATGAGAGAGAGGAAATTGAGAGCCGAGGAAAACCTATCAAGGAAACAGATTTTTTAATTCATTTAATAATTAAAAATTGGTTTTTTTTTTCCTTTTTTACATGTTGCCGAAATTGTATCTATCAAATATAAGCTAATAGGAAAACAGTATTCTAATTACCACAAAAAATAGCAGTGCTATAATTGGCTTATTAAAAAACCTTGTCTATCTTGACTAAAGATAACTATCTATGACTTATGAGCCCCATAACTTTGTTTACATTAAAACTGTACTGAATATGTAAGGCGAAAAGAATATACAAACTCATATGAAGAACAAGATCTGTATTCAAAGTTCAGACTACCATATTAAATGATATTTTGGTCTTTATTCAAGCCTTATTCTGTGTAAATAACCCTAGTTGTGTCTTCAGCTTTACAACTATAATTAGAAATTAAAAATGTTATTAAAACAAATAGTTTACAAACAAAATCTGGTAACCAGGAGCAAACAAGTCCTAGTACTATCATACCAGACACTGCCCTAGCACACCTTAGTGTCAAGGAGCTCAACAAACGGGTATGGCAGGTTATACTAGTTTTACAAGGGCAGGTTATACTAGTTTTACAAGGGTAGGTTATACTAGTTTTACAAGGGCAGGTTATATTAGTTTTACAAGGGTAGGTTATACTAGTTTTACAAGGGCAGGTTATACTAGTTTTACAAGGGCAGGTTATACTAGTTTTACAAGGGTAGGTTATACTAGTTTTACAAGGGCAGGTTATATTAGTTTTACAAGGGTAGGTTATACTAGTTTTACAAGGGCAGGTTATACTAGTTTTACATCAAGATATTCTCAACATTCCTATTTGGAAGATGGAGAATTACTTCACAAGTATCAAGTAAGTACAAGGGCAGGTCATACTGGTTTTACAAGGGCAGGTTATACTAGTTTTACAAGCTCAGGTTATACTAGTTTTACAAGGGCAGGTTATAATATTTTTACAAGGGCAGGTTACACTAGTTTTACAAGTTCAGGTTATACTAGTTTTACAAGGGAAGGTTATATTAGTTTTACAAGGGCAGGTTATACTAGTTTTACAAGGGCAGGTTATAATAGTTTTACAAGGGCAGGTTATACTAGTTTTACAAGCTCAGGTTATACTAGTTTTACAAGGGGCAGGTTATACTAGTTTTACAAGGGAAGGTTATATTAGTTTTACAAGGGCAGGTTATACTAGTTTTACAAGGGCAGGTTTTAATAGTTTTACAAGGGAAGGTTATACTAGTTTTACAAGGGAATACTAGTTTTACAAGGGAATACTAGTCTTTCAAGGGCAGGTTTTACTAGTTTTACAAGGGAATACTAGATTTACATGGGCAGTAGAGATCCAAATCTCAATTGAAATTTTTTTTTAGCACACAAGCTCAAGTGGTTCCATGCACATATAAGTTCTTCTAATCAAATTTTTAGATGTCTAGGTTGCCATTAACAGCTACATGTTAAAATTGAAATATTGCTAAATAAATATACCTTTTTACACTGTAAATGTGTGTTCGCCAGAAAACTGTTTTCAAATTAGGCCTAATAATATCTACCTAATTCACCTTAGTTATACACTAACTACCTAATTGACCCCTTATATATGAACTTTCTACCTGATTGACCCCTATCTATGAACAATTTATCAGATTGACCCCCTAGATATGTATTATGTAATGCTTCCTGATTGACCCCTATATATGAACAATTTATCAGATTGACCCCCTAGATATGCAGTGCTTCCTGATTGACCCCTATCTATGAACAATTTATCAGATTGACCCCCTAGATATGTAATGCTTCCTGATAGACCCCTATATATGAACAATTTTTCAGATTGACCCCCTAGATATGTACTGCTTCCTGATTGAACCCCTAGATATGAACTGATTTCTGATCTACCTCCTAGCTCTGAACTATGTACCTGATTGACCCACTAGCTCTGAACTATCTACCCGATTTACCCCCTAGCTCTGAACTATGTACCTGATTTACCCCCTAGCTCTGAACTATGTACCTGATTTACCCCCTAGCTCTGAACTATCTACCTGATTTACCCACTAGCTCTGAACTAATCTAATCTAATCTAATCTAATAATTTATTTTTCCGTTGAAAATATGACAGGTTGTGCATAAAAATTACATATTTATATGATTTCTATTAATCATCAACGGAAGGAGAGCAGCCATAGCAGAGCTGTTTTCAGGTTGGTCTCCTGGCAGTTTACCGTGGTATCAATTAGAACTGAATTGATGTGATACGTCGTGGGACTGGGTTTGGAGAAGACGGAGGAACAGGGTCAGATTTGCTCAATTAACATGTTATAAATTTGGTTCTTGATTTGAGACAGTAGGCAGAAAACAGAAACAGAGGCGCCTGGAACTATTGCATTCCTAATTTTTTTGCGTTGCAAAAAAAATTAGCAAAAGTTTAAGGTCCACCCATTAACAATACCTTTTCCAAAAAAAAGCAATGCCAGAGCACTGATTTTTATAAGAAGGATTTAAAAAATGCAAATTGCTTGAATTAAAAATCCATTGTCATAGAAAAAAAAATTATGTGTATGCAGTTAAAAAATGACGATTAACTAGAGCATGACCTACCTGATTGACCCACTAGCTCTGAACTATGTACCTGATTTACCCACTAGCTCTGAACTATCTACCTGTTTGACCACCTAGCTATAAACTGCTATACCTGATTGATCCCATAGCTATGAATTGATTCCTGGTTGACCCCCCTAGCTATAGCTATGAACTGCTACCTGGTTGACCTCCTGGTTACAAACTATCTACTTGATTGACCTCCTTGTTACAAACTATCTACTTGATTGACCTCCAAGCTCAGATCTTTACCTGGTTGACCCTTTTCTATTAACTGTTACCTTAATTACCCCCTGAAATATCTGAAATATATACATGATTGACCTTCTTGCTATAAATTACTACCTGATTAACCACTTAACTATATCCTTAATTTAGTTACCAATACTGGATATTATTGTATATTATCTCGAGTTTCTATAATCCTTAATTTAGTTACCAATACTGGATATTATTATATATTATTTTGAGTTTCTATATCCTTAATTTAGTTACAAATACTGGATATTATTATATATTATCTTGAGTTTCTATATCCTTAATTTAGTTACCAATACTGGATATTATTATATATTATCTTGAGTTTCTATATCCTTAATTTAGTTACCAATACTTGATATTATTATATATTATCTTGAGTTTCTATAATCCTTAATATCGTAACCCTGCACTACCTAGGTACAGAACCTTGGAAGAGAGGAGGTGATTGCTCTCAAACAACGGAGAAGGACGCTTAAAAACAGAGGGTAAGATATTTTTTACTTAAAGGGACTGTATGCCAAATTCAAGTGACCCTACAAGCAATTTGCAAAGACTGGAATACCCGACAGAGTACAGACCCTTTAAAAGAACTGCCAAAGAATTCTAAACTCGACTTTTCTAACACAATTCACACCAGATCCCATGCGAGACATTGTAAAGATACAAGAGATTGTTCCCATATTTCAAAATATTCACAATTAGAGATGGCCGCGTTCGGCTTTTGTCATTTACTTTCGGTCATCGATGTGAACGATCCATTTCGTTTTTTTTTGATCATCAAAATTATACCGTCTATTTTCCATCAATTTTGTTCGTTCAGTGAAATCTTTTTTTTCAGTAAAATCATTCGTCCAGTAAAATCGTTTGTTCAATAAAATTGTTTAAACAGTAAAAGTACACTCGTTTTATCTAAAGTTTGTTAGAAAAATCATTTGGAAAAGGCGTTCGTTCAGTAAAAATAACGATAGTTTTTTAGTTCGTTCAAACGATTTTTTATTTCTCTGAAAGATTCAATTCGTTCGTCCATTTTTCTTTTTTTCCCTAAACGTTCGTTCTCAAAAATTTCGTTGCTAGACAAAAACGATGCACAAAACAAAACCGAACATTTTTATCTGTACTGTACTGTACTGTACTGTACTTTACTGTACTGTACTGTACTGTACTGTACTGTACTGTACTGTACTGTACTGTCATGTAATGTACTGTACTGTATTGTACTGTACTGTACTGTACTGTACTGTACTGTACTGTACTGTACTGTACTGTACTGTACTGTACTGTACTGTACTGTACTGTACTGTACTGTACTGTACTGTACTGTACTGTACTGTACTGTACTGTACTGTACTGTATAAACAAAAATCCATAAAATTAACTACAAAAGAGATAGACAAGTTTCTCAATGAAATTTTACGTCTGAAAGTTCTGGAAATTCCGGCTTTCAGGGACATTTTTCAGTGGTAGAATAGGCTTACTAATTTCAAATGTTGGGTAACTAAATTTAGTTGGTGTCGTTTTTTAGTTTTTATAAAATAAGCATGGATAATTATTTTAGATATGCCGTCCAGTGCAGGTTAAGAAGGCAGCAGCATAAAGATAATCTGGAAATGCAGGTTCGTAATTTTACACATTTAATACGTTGAATTAGGATATCAATAATTGATACATAAAAACTCGTTTCAACCTTCAAACCAACCAAATGTCTACGAAATATCTTTAAAAATCCAAAACTGTAAATGAATTTTATTAGTTTTTTTTTTCGATTGCAGCCAATCTTCCTTCCTTCACAACTGAAAACACGTTGACAATTGTGTAACTTATCGTCGAAGTAACTATTTTAACAATTGTTGAACAATCCACTTTATGCCAAGTTGTTTTCTATAGGTGTTTTCTCTGAGAAATTACGAACAATTCCTTTAATATCAAGCTGTTTTCTTAAAGAAATTGTGAACAATTGCTTTAATATCAAGGTGTTTTCTCCGAGAAATTGTGAACAATTCCTTTAATATCAAGGTGTTTTCTCTTAGAAATTGTGAACAATTCCTTTAATATCATGGTGTTTTCTCTTAGAAATTACAAACAATTTCTTTAATATTAAGGTGTTATCTCTGAGAAATTGTGAACAATTCCTTTAATATCATGGTGTTTTCTCTTAGAAATTACAAACAATTTCTTTAATATTAAGGTGTTATCTCTGAGAAATTGTGAACAATTCCTTTAATATCAAAGTGTTTTTTAAAGAAATTGTGAACAATTGCTTTAATATTAAGGTGTTTTCTCCGAGAAATTGTGAACAATTGCTTTAATATTAAGGTGTTTTCTCCGAGAAATTGTGAACAATTGCTTTAATATTAAGGTGTTTTCTCCGAGAAATTGTGAACAATTGCTTTAATATTAAGGTGTTTTCTCCGAGAAATTGTGAACAATTGCTTTAATATTAAGGTGTTTTCTCCGAGAAATTGTGAACAATTGCTTTAATATTAAGGTGTTTTCTCTTAGAAATTACAAACAATTTCTTTAATATTAAGGTCTTTTCTCTGATTAATTTAAACATTCTCTTTAATTTTCAGGTGCAAAGTCTGTCTGAAAGACTGAATGAGGCAGAGCGTGAAATGAATTATTATAAAAATTGGTATGAGAAAGTAAGTAAATGTTTCGTTAAAACAAACATATTTTTAAAATACTAGACTTTTAGGGCGCTTCGCGCATCTTCTATTTAAACTTTTAACTGTGGCTTTATCTGTGAGCATTTTCTCTTTGTACAGTATAAAACAAAAACAAAAGAGTTTGCGGATTTCATAATATTTTTTCGCGCATTTTCAAAATTTTACAAAAATAAAAAACTTACAAATACAAATTTTGAAAACAAACAAACAAACTGAAACCCAGACAAGCTATATTTATATATCGATTTTAAAAATTGTCTTTTGCATCGTTGTGGATTACAATAAACACCAAACTTTTTTTAATTTTTATATTTTTTATTTTAAAAATATATTTTTAGAATTTTTTTAAGTGTCGTTGCCGACTGCATACTAACCCTCTGCCATTGAACCTAGAGATGATCAATAATAATCATGAGTTTGATTATAAAAGACAAGATTTAAAACAAGGACAGGTTAGTTTGGGTTTATAAATGTTAAGTATAATATTTTTCCTTAGTTTATTTTCTATTGTCTATTTTCAAGCTTAGAAAACAAGACTTGCCTGCAGTTTTCCATGATTTTACTAAGTCACTGATTTTAGAGTTTTAAAGCCAAGCTATGAACATTTCCGTGGCCCTACCGAATACCCAAATAAACAATTTGAGGCAAATCGGTGCAGGGGTTTACGAGTATTGTCATCCATACAAACATACAGACCACCCAATCTCAGATTACAACATATTATAAATATAGATAATAATGCTTTATTGGTTCTCTTTATTTACTTATCACTGTACAGTGTTCAGTGTTCATTCATCTATTTATTTAGAATTCTTATTCGCCTTTAATGGGCCAACCAATCAAAACAACCAACTCGGTTAGGCGGGTCCAAACCATATAGAAAATTGTGATTTTTTTTGTATTATCTCGTGCTTTGTAGTTGAATAAAAATATGAAATATGAAAAATATTAAATACCCATAATCTAGTAGGTGTTATGTGGGACCCAAAAACTATTTAATTTATACACAATTACAGATGTAACAATTAAATAATTAAGTATTTTTACAATATTAAGGAGTAAAAAGAGAAAAGTTAAAGTAAAAATATTAAAATGTCAACTAAATATTCTCCGTCTACAAGAATGAGTTCAGACTAAAAAAATGTGCTTGGCTCCTATTGCAAATTTGATTACTGTTTCTAATTAGCAAATGTGCAGACCTTGCAAAATGAATTAAATTGTTAAACTGGTATATATCACATTCATTAGACACCAGGGAGTCATCTGTTATTTCAAATATTTCTTATTTAAAAATTCAAATATTAAAATTATTTATTTTCTAATTTACAGGACGAGTTCCGGCGGGGATACGACAACGGTGGCGGGATTCCGTCNATTTAAAGATATAAATTTAAGGGATAAGATTTATTTAAGTACATATATATAAGTAGAATCCCTGAACGGTACTGTAGAAGTACTTTTACTAATACCGTTGCTTTTATACAGATATTCGTCTTTTATACTAGCTTGGGAACACAGCGTTGCCCAGGGTACTCATAATTACTCCAGCCGTTTACCCGCACTTGGTCGATTTTTCAGGGAAAATAAATTTCGTATAACAGTCGACCCACTCAACTCAGACAAACAAACAATCAAACAAACAGAAAAAGAGAGATTACAACTTTTTATATATTTATACATATATAGATAAGTATATATATCCACCTAAACACATTTCAGAGTCAAAACGTACATCCAAAACACAATTCAGAGTCAAAACATACATCCTAAACACAATTCAGAGTCAAAACATACATCCTAAACACAATTCAGAGTCAATTTTAGATATGCCGTCCAGTGCAGGTTAAGAAGGCAGCAGCATAAAGCAGGTTATACTAGTTTTACAAGGGCAGGTTTTAATAGTTTTACAAGGGAAGGTTATACTAGTTTTACAAGGGAATACTAGTTTTACAAGGGAATAATCCTGGCAGATAGAACATTATCATTGAATAAAAGACATGAAATTATGTCAAAATGTCGACATAAAAACAAGATGCTTCTAGTAAATGTAGTGTGATAAAGTATGGTTTTTTTTAACATCATGTTTGTTTTATTGTATGTATCTATATGTAACATTAATTTGAAAATTAATTTAACATCTCGTAAAAATCCGCGAAACATCTGTAAAAAATTCTCAAACAATTCATACTGATGATTGCATAAAAGCATGAAACAATTTGTTTATGAATAAAATGTTATAAGAAGATTGTTGCGTTTCAACTGATATATATATATATATATATATATGGATATAGATAAATAAGGATAAGTCTGTTATCCTTAATCTGTCAAGGTTTAAAGTTCTATGGTTTAGAGGGTTCTGTTGTGAATCGGCCATATATAGCACTCTATAAATATATGGTCACTTGAAAGCATTTTGATAAGTTCTATTTTAAATTTAAATTTGTTTGTTCTGATTTTCTTGAACAATTGTTCACCAATGTATATACATTTATACTTGTTTTACCAATCCTCCCTTCCTCCCTCTCATTAGCCTTTAGACTTCTTAATAGTTTTCTTCTTCTTTTAGAATACAAATAGTATATATGTATCTATTAATATATCTATTAATATATCTATTAATATATCTTTCCATCTGTTTATATATATATATATATCTATTAATCTATTTCCTAATACATCTATCACATTATTGAGGTACTATTTCACAAAGGCATTTTCTCAAGGGCGACTTTTTCATTTGCCCTAGGGTGGCAATTTCATAAGAGGCAAATTCCCAAATTTGAAATTTCCCAAAGGGCAACCTCCCAAAGGTTAGGTTAGGCCTTGTGAGGCAATGATGGGGTCAAGCGCTGCGGCTAGAATTGGATAGGGTGCCGAGCGCTGCGGCTAGGACAGACTTTGGAAGTCGCCGCTTTGGAAATTTCACATTTGGGAAGTTCCCAAATTGATAAATATCCTTCGGAAATTGACGCTTGGGAAAAAGGACTTTGGGAAATTACCTAGCATCATTATTTATTGATCAATTAATTAAACATTCAGCTAGAAATATGTTCCAGAAAGGACATTTTTTAACTTTTTAAAGATTTCAATTTCAATGTGTTTAGGAAACAATGTATCGGCCTGAGTTCCGTGATGCCGACGGGAAAATGATCAACGGAGATTGTCATAACAAAATGTGACAGTGGATGGTGAGAATATTTTCATAATATGTTTACGATCTTACTCTTGTATATGTGCTATAAAATAGTTTTGAATGACTTAACTTCTAAGTTCTTTTGATAGACAGTCAGGATGGTAAGAGTGTTATTATTGAATGTAAATCTTTTTTGTCAGTCTTTCTTTTAAAAAATCTGTATTAAATTTGTCAAAAAGTTAAACAATTACCATGAATCACTTTGCGCCCCCTTTTTTTTAATCAAGGCCTTTTTAGTTGTTTTTCTTCGTCGCTTTAACAGTAAATGGAAATATTTACTTCCACTGACTATAGTGTATCGGTGGATATTCAAAATAAATTAAAGAACCAAAGTTATTATAAGAAAGGAATTGAGTTTTTGCCAGAAAATTTTAATTTCTAATCCCTGTATCTTTGTTATCTGAAGGCTTAATCCTTTTTTATATCAAACTTAAACTCCTGAATGCCGAGTCCATTAGCGCCTGATCCAACCAGGGTTCAGTCATGTGTTTGGTGTCTATTCTGAACCAATAGATATAGTATGGCGGTAACATCTATCTTTCTATCTATTTCATTATCCAATTAGAGTTATGAATCCTTCAATCGTCGCTATCAGTAAATGGAAATATTTACTTCTACTGAAACTATGGTGCTTAGACTTTTTGATCTAAAAAGGTTCATAGTTTGAAGTATTAAAGATGTACGACATCGGGATACAAAGGATTCAAACACACATTTATTTTTCAATCAAAATTGACCGGCCATGAACCTCCTCTCAAATCATATGACGTCAGTCAAAAAATCGGTTCTGCCGTATTTATCTGAACTCTTGGACTGTGAGTCACGACCTTACCAATGATTTTATAAAAGTGTCCGTTATTGCACAATTTTGACAACTGACTCAATTTCAGCTGAGTACAGGAATGGAGAGCAACTGGACTGGAGGTAAGCCTGTTCAAGGCTCCAGGGAGAACATCTGATAAACCTGAGTTGAGCTGGGAACTTATGAATATCCAGCCTCTCCCTGTAAACCTCTAAAAGTCCTGACCACTTAGAAAAAATCTCAAACCTTCCGCTGAATCAAAAATTTGCATTTGTCTAGACGCCAAAATAGATTCCAAAATTACAAATCTGAAAGTTAATATTTTGAACAAAAAAGTGTGAAAAGTTAAAAGCATACATGTAACATGTAACATAACATTTCTTTGTTAAAATTTTGTAACATTCTTGAAATCTAATGCGTTTATAATAACACGAATTTTAACCAAAAATTTTGCAAACATTCCACTGCTCGCCTTTAAACTTTTATTGCGTTAAAATGAATAATTAAAAATAAAAATTCTCTGTAATTTGTTCAAACAAAAGCTTTAATTGATTTATGCAATTGAAACCTACTTTCTAGTCTTTTTTACAAAATTTGTCATTAATTACCAAAAAAATATTCTCTCTTTTAAATCTGTAATTTTTTTTGACAATCTCAACAGCTTTTCTAAATCAATTTTATCTCCAGAAAATCAGAATTTGCAGGTTGACTATAATTATAAATACGGTGGTAGCAATAAAAAAGAATCCTCATACGATTGCTTAACTGTCTACTTTTATTCCACACTTCACTTTTAGGAAATCTCAAAAAAAAATAGAAAATAATTGATATGACCGCAGACTACTTTTAAAGCTAATGTGCAAAATTTTGAAAACAAATGCAATGTCTGAAAAATGACCTACCTTCACTTGTTCGGATAAATTGACGTAATTCCGGTCACTTGCCATTTAAATATTGGCATTTCCGACTTACATTGATGTTCACCATTTTCTTTGCAGTTTAAATACGCAAATTAATAAAAACGCAAAATAATAAAGAAATTGAGTTTTTGCCAGAAGCTTCAAATCCCTCTATATTTGCAGCTTGACATTGTGAACCTTATATATTTCAAACTCATACTATTTAATCTAGTTTGTAGTTTGAAATATCTTAAACATCGAGTTGCAAAGATATAGGAATTAGAAAATCAGAGTTTGTTGAAGAAACACAATTTCTTTGTAGCCAGATGGAAAAAATCTTATTCTTACTTGATTAAATATTATAGGAATAAAGGGCAATTTTCCAAGTCGGAAATAGAAGTTCTAATGGAGGGTCACTTAAAATTACGTCTGCAATCTCTTTAATTAAAATCAATATTTTCAAAACTTAAGAAAATCATGAAAATCAAAGGAATTGATTTGCAACAACATTTTCTAATCCCTCAGTATTTGCAATCAGATAGTTTAAACCTTCCATTTTTCAACTTAGTTTTTTAGATCTAACAGAATTCATAGTGTGACATAGGTCTCCAACACTGGGTTGCAAAGATATAGAGATTAGAAAATCAGACTTTGCAGCAAAGAATCAATTCCTTTATTGTCCAAGTCAATTGATCTTAAATTTTTTTAAATTTTCTTGCTTTTTTAAACACATTTTTTTAATTTATGATGTCTTAACTCTTTCATTAGAGAACGTTTTTTAAAGTTGTATTTAGAATTCTAGTCTCTTAATAAACCAAACAATGTTAACCATTCCATTTTTAATATGAACAATATATTGGCTTGGCCTATAATTGCACATTTTTATAAAAATGTAAGAAAAATTTACAATTACCCCCACCCCACCTAACCTAGGTCAAGAAATGTCTTGTTATATACGTATGATAGATTGTTAAAAATTAACATGTCATAATTTTAAAAGTGAGATTTATGTTTAGTTTGTGTCAATTTTTAAAAAAACTAAACAAACAATTTTTGTTTTACTTTAAAATGTAATAAAAGTTTTGGTTTTACAGGGAAAATATATTATTTTCCTATAAGCGGGTTCTATATGCAATAAAGCAAGGGGGGGATAGTTGGTATTTTATAATTGTTAAATTTGTCTGGCTGGTGGGTTACCCCTCGTGCAATATATGTGATATACCTATTATCATTGTAAATAGTCAAATTATATTAACAATTTGTTGGTCGGTTTTTGTGACAATCCCTAGTCATAAAAATACGCAATAATAGATGCATAATAATAATAATAATAATAATAATAAAAAGAATTATGATGATAATGATGAGCAAATATGCAATAGTTGTTTTAGTTTAGTTTTAGAAGAAATAAATGTAACAAAACATGCATTGGTTATTATTGTATTCTTCAACTTGAGAATATGTAAAGTAGTATTCTGATAATTGGTGGGAGTGGTATTTTTTAAAACGGGTCCATTAGCACCTGATCCAATCAGGGTTCAGTCACGTGATTGTTGTCTATTCTGAACCAATAGGAATAGTATGGCGGTAACATCTATCTTTCAATATATCCCATTCGGCGCAATCAGTAAATGAAAATATTTACTTCTACTGAAACTATAGTGCTAGAGTGATATCGAATTAAATTTAATATAGACCCCTACTAATTTTACTTATCTCTGATGCCTATATAAGGAGTAAATGATTAAAAACGCCTTGAACCCAAGAGCGTAGGACCCAATTTAATTGAATTAGTTACTCCTTTAAATTCCTTTGAAAAATAAAAATATATATATACTATACACTGCTGAAAATACTGAATTAATTATATTTTTTAAATTTTCTCTTCGCGAATTAAAAGGGTAGAGCTCTTTCTTTCATAGTTTATAAAGTGTGTACAGCCCTGATAAAAAAACATTATAACTATATATATACATCCTAGTATCATAGCTATCTAGTTGATAGCCATTTTGAAATAATATAGATTAATAAATATATAGATAGACAGGTATAAGGATAGATAAAAAGATAAATGGATAGATTAACATATAGATAGATAGATAGATAGAGGCCGCATAAATAGATATATAGATAGATATATAGATAGATACATAGATAGATTAATATATAGATAGATAGATAGATAGATAGATAGATAGATAGATAGATAGATAGATAGATAGATAGATAGATAGATAGATAAATAGATAAATAGATAGATAGATAGATAGATAAATAGATAGATAGATAAATAGATAGATAGAAAGATAGATAGATAGATAAATAGATAGATAGATAGATAGATAGATAGATAGATAGACATATATATCTATATATAAATTTGGCTTGCCTGTCTGTTTGTTTGTCTGTCTGTTTGTATAGATAGATAGATAGAGACCGCATATAAGTTCAATTGTTCGGAAGTAAAAGAGGAAAATCTTATCTGTGGTAAATCATACCAAGGGATCTATCTATCTATCTATCTAACCATTTATCTAGCTCTCTATCTATCTATTTATATATCTATCTATCTATCTATCTATCTATCCATCTATCTATCTAGCTATCTATTTATCTATCTATCTATCTAACTATCTATCTATCGATCTAACCATCTATCTGTCTATCTAACCAACTATCTATCTATCTATATATATACATCTATCTATCTATATTTCTAGCTATCTATTTATCTATCTATCTATCTATCTATATATCTATCTATCTATCTATCTATCTATCTAACCATCTATCTTTCTATCTATCTATACATCTATCTATTTATCTATCTATCTATCAATCTTTCTATCTATTTATCTAAATACTTTGAAGAACAGTTATAAGAGTATGTCTCAATTACGGCTGAAAAGAGTTCTTCTCCTAAAATGTTCCCCTATCTATCTATCTATCTATCTATCTATCTATCTATCTATCTATCTATCTATCTATCTATCTATCTATCTATCTATCTATCTATCTATCTATCTATCTATCTATCTATCTATCTATCTATCTATCTATCTATCTATCTATCTATCTATCTATCTATCTATCTATCTATCTATCTATCTATCTATCTATCTNTAACACCTGTATCCTTATAAGCCCTGTCTTAACAAATATGAATTAGATAACACTGTTTATGAATTCACAGTTTGGACATACTCAGCACTAGATAGTTTTGCGTGAAAACAGTCCGGACACTCAGCACTAGTTGACTTTACGTGAGTACACAGTCCGGACATACTCAGCACTAACTGGTTTTGCGTATAACAGTCCGAACATACTCAGCACTTATTGGTTTTGCGTGAAAACAGTCCGAACATACTCAGCACTAGTTGGTTTTGCGTAAAAACAGTCTGGAAATACTCAACAATATTTGGTTTTTGCGTGCACACAGTCCGAACATTCCCAGCTCCAATTGGTTTCATGTGGAGACATGAATTCCTGACATACTCAGCACTAGTTAGTTTTGCGTGAATACAGTAAAGACATACTCAGCAATAGTTGGTTTTGTGTGCACATAGTCCGAACATACCCAGCTCCAGTTGGTTTTAAGTAGAACATGGATTCCGGACATGCTAAACTATATTAAGTTTAGCGTTGTCCATGTAAATCCTATTAACTATTATATACTTAATATATGAATAGTACTCGTGTTAAAGAAGGATTGGTCAGCATCTATTAATAAATCACTAATCCTTAGCTAGCAATGGATCCAGGAATTGGAGCAGATTAAACGGGATTATCCGACTTTTACACCGGATATGCATGCAAACACACACATGTCAGGCACTTGTCAAAATATTTTAACATTTATCTTATAAATACATTTATTTACATCACGAAAGGGCAGATAGACATTTCTGTGTTTAAACTGATAAAATTTCGGAATTTTTTCAAACAGTTTTTTGGTTTTCTTGGATATTTTAAAACTTGACTATTTGATTTAAGAGAATTCAAAGTATAAAATTTATGTCTATAAGGTCTTCATCATCAAGCTGCAAAGATATAAAGATCAGCCAATTGGAGTTACTTTGAAAATCTTGTTTAGATGATCTAAATTATATGATTTAGTTTAATAAAAATTATTAATTAATAATCTAATTAGTCTTCATTGACTACCTGAAAATCTAGATTATTGGTTTATAGTGTTTTCATACTCATTCTTGTTTAAATGATTAAATACAGCTAACCTCGCTTTATTTAATGGATTTTTAATAGTTGATCAAATCTGAACATTCTTTGCTTCGGAAGTAATAAAAATAATTGTGTCTTTGCCACACACTCACATTTATAAACCCTTTATCTTTGCAACCTGATGGTGTAAACCTTTGAAATATAAAACTGAGAT